GATTAGCTTAATTCCGAGTTTATAAAATTAGAAGATCATCTCACAAAAAAAAAAAAAAAAAAAAAAGATATATCGAATAAGTTTATCTCAGAGAATTAATTTTCATTTTAAAATTCAATACCTCAAGAAAAAACTGTTATTAAAATTAATAAATATATAAAAAATAATGGTTCATATTTTTCGAATTTTCTCACTTCGTATCATAGGGATTCTTTGGGTACCACCAATAGTGGATATGTGGGGAAAATGGACAATATGATTGTTCATACGAAGGATGATGTCTATGTTACAATTTTTCTATAAATGAAAATTTATTACCTACATTATTCATATGGTGTATTAATATATATGAAGTTATGATTAGTTGTTTTATAATTGAAATATACAACTTTATTATTATTATTTTTTTTTTTATCTGTTTATTGAGTAATAATACATTTTGCCACACTTAAGGGCACTGAGTACTAAGGCTGAGTGAGGCACATTCATACCATATATACAATACATAAAAAAAAAAAAAATAATAATAAAAAAAAATAAATAAAAAAAAAAATAAATAAAAAAATAAAAAATATAAAAATCTATATAACAAAGGCAAAAACTACAATAAACCAAGGAAACTTTATTATTAACTTTATTTATTATCTTAGCTATAGTTGAGTTATTTGTGTAGTAATTCATCAAATTGTAATATAGGGCGAAAATGACCCAAGTGGTTGAAGAGCCCAAAACATGTATAAATAAATAAATTATTCATATTAAACTATGATCTATATATTCTTAACAGAATAATCGAGGTATATGTTGAATTATAGGATTCAGGGTTAAGTATTCCATTGTAGGCTCTGTTTAAGTGCTGAATATTTAGTCAAGTGGGGGACTTAGTCGCTGCTTCATTGCCTTGGGTTTCAACTACCATCACATAAGTAGACACCATGCCCTCTTTCAATAAGTAAGTTAAATGCTAAGTATTTTTGAAGTTAATGTAAGCTGCATTTTCCCATAAATAAAATGTTGGTCTTTTGCTATTCAAAAAGGAGTGATATCCTTTTAAAAAATATTAAATTATATCAAAGAGGCTATGAAATTTACAGTTGTGTTGATTTTTTTTTCTTCGAAAGATTTATATTGAGGAGGAAAACCAACGAGAAAAGAAAATTACCCTGAAGCAATCCCTCATTACCCTCTTTAAGATAATAAAAATATTAAATAACATCCTAGGAGAGAATAAAATTGTTTTTACAATTGCCGTGGAAAATGAAAAAGAAAGGAAGAAAAGCGATTTGCAGTTAACGCTGAATTGAACGTCAATCTTTTTACAGTTGGGTGCTAGTGCTAAACGCTAAAAATCTTAAGAGTCTAGAGCAGCCCTGTAAAGATTGTTTTCTTAACTGCTCCTAGGAGACGCTTTTTTATTTACGACTATTCAAGTTAAATTTTATCACACATAAAGTTATTTTGTGATGAAAAAATATAACTTAGTTTTATGAAAATTATCCCAATTTATGGATTGTGATATCAGTATGAACATTGAACTGTATGGAAAAAAAGAAAATAAATACAACTATTGTTAAGAACATTAAAACGATTTCGTATGAATTAGCATGGTCAATCAACAAGATAGGGATGTTACAGTAACTCTTTCATCAAAATCGACTAACCGGAAGTGCCACTTTATATCATGGGCTAAAAACATTTTTACAATTTTCTCGGAAACGGCTCAAACGATTTTGATTAAATTCATTATGTAAGTGTAACATTAAGTAGTTTTAAGTAAAATATAGTTTTTATTGTGTTTGATGTTCTCTAACAGGGCTTAAATGGCTAATTTTCAATATTAGCTTCCTCTAAAGTACCTTTAATTTTTTTTATTTGAAACAATTGACTATTTCACATTAATTTCTAATATAAAATATGAAAGAATTTGATAATTAACTAAAGGAGTAATAAAAAATTGTAACGGAGAATAGTTGTAATTGATCGTACCCGAGCTCGCTCGAAAGATTACAACAGTCTTCCATACGCAACATGAGCTTAATATATTACGGATTCCGACAATATTATATAAATATAAATATGCGATTTTCATAAATGCTATTGTTGGTATTATTTAATATTTAATTGTATAGATTACACCGATATAAATATTAAAATTTATATATATATATATATATATATATATATATATATATATATATATATATATATAAAAGGGTACTTATACAAATAAAAATACCCAGAATGAAATATAAATAATTATAACGTCTTTTATTTTTACTTTGAGTTCTCCTTTGTCTGAAAATACTTATTTCTGCTAAGGAGAGGGTGGTAAGTAAAAGGTGTGTGATGCGCGCACCGCACCAGATTTTTTTAGGCTTGATTTGGATTTATATGGCATTTGTTGTGAATTTTAATCGATTCATATTTGATGAAATCATTTCTCCAGTTCAATGAACAAAACTAAAAAAATAAGTTAGTCTGAAATATGGTACAATTTCATATTTAGTAGCCTACAGAAAACATAGGTTTTGTAATTTTTTACCATTTTTATTACTAAATTTTTCTTGAAATATTATATTTTAATTTTTAAATGTGTTTTTTTTTGTCTGGAGACATACAGACTAGGGACAGAAAATTTTATTATAAAATTTAATATTTTGTTCTATTTATTTATATTACACTTAACTTTCTTTTAATTAGTCTAATTACCTTAATCAAATTTACCTAATATGAAAATGAGAATAATGAAAAATAATAATGAAAAAAGAAGAGTTTAAAAAAAAAATAAAAAATCGTAATGTATTTGTCGTTTAATGGCAGGCACGTGTGTGATTTGCCATCCCTGCAAAATCTCGTACAGCCGAAAGGCAAGGAAGGGAGGAATAAATAAATAATCACATTTACGTTACTTATTTTTATATATCTACACATTGTAAATAATTGTACATTTATTTAAGCATAATTATTATATAGAATTACCATATGTACTAATGCTAATTATCTATAAATTAATTAAATCACTTTGTATGAGACAATTTATACCCCAGCTAATAACATATTTACTAAATAAACTTGACTTTTCTAAAATTAATTAAATTAAATAAAAACTGAACAATGAACAATTCAGAACAAAGTTAATAAACTTATTAAAATTGCCTAGAATTAGTTTTATGAAAGTATAACAATTGTGGTATCAAAGATAAAAAAAATTCTTTAAGGTCTGCGGTATTGAAAGCTTCCTGTCCATGAGTAGGTCAGTTACGCCTCATTATAAATTATTTAACTCAAATTAACTTTAATGTTTAGCAGAGCAGAATAAATTAAACTTTAAACATAAAATTATATTACGAACAAAACCAAACAATAATAATCACGATAGCAAAGCTTTTAAGAATGTTTATTATTTGTTAAACATTACACATATATATTTATTTTTTAAACTGCACCTGTCGCAAATGAGATAGAGATGATAATTTAATTATAGATAGTACTATTATTGTTAATAATAGTGTATTAGATATATACCCTTTGATAACTAGTAACAGTTACAAAGATAAGGACCTCCTTCTCTCAAAGATAAACAATACTTCGTTAAGATAAACGTTCCGCATATCTGGTTACTGTTGTGCTCATAAAGGTGATAAAGATAGTGATAGTTACGGAATCGCTTGTGTTTATTGCACTCATTATAACCTTTGTTTTTATTTTTGAGAAGGAAAATATTCCAATAAATTAATTTTACACTCTTAATTTAGTACAAAAAAATATATATATACCTATATAGATATATACCTATAGTAAATACTAAGTGATATCAGGCTTTCACAATTACATATATTGAAGAAACTTTACTATAAAAGAAAATACCGAAGAAATTTCTGAAACACTCAAGCCAACAAAGTCTAAAGAGGTGATTAATCCAATGATGTTAAATAAAAATTTACCAGACTAATTTAACAAACGGAATCGCCAACAGAAGAATTATATATTTAATTACATTACCAAGAATTATGTATCGTATTATCAAGATCTGAAGGAGTAGCAAAAAAAAATATCCTCTGTACACTAATTTAATTATTTTTTATGGAATTTTATAGGATTTTTGACAATCAAAAGTGATCCTTATCACCTAGTAAATTAATTAACCCAATATATCGCTACTGTTAGTGAAAAAGGTTATTTGTAACAATTGTCCATGTTCACGGGCGGATCTACGGAGAGAGGGGGGGGGGGAGCTTTGGGGCTTAAGCCTCTCCCAAAATGGTAAAATATAACCAGGTTTTATGGAAAAAAAAATATAAAAAAATTATCTCTGAAAGTATTATTGTTCGTGTAATTACATTTAAAAGGACTCACTTAAACACCATTTCATGTAGGTAGTTAGTTTCTTTCTTTTTTCCCAAAGTAATTATCGTTATTTTTACGAAAAAAAAGCTTTCGGGCTGAAGTCCCCCAACATTAAATCCTGGATCTGCTAGTGTCCAAGTTTATCCTATTCATGCCAAAGGTGATATTTTGTAGTCTGTAACTGCAATAAGTAGTCTGCTACTATTGAAAATAACAGAGGGAAATCATAAAAAAATGATCAGTTTTTATGATATTTTGTAAAAAAAAAACTCAATTTTTCAATACACGAACTATTGCACTGACAGTACCGATATCTTACTTTATGCCAGTATCAAACTACAATTTTATTTTATTTTATTTTTTTTTTGCCTTCACTTTCCTTCCCTTTTAGGCTATACGAGTTTTTTCCTGGGCCGAGGGAGAGGACGGGGAATCATGACGAATTAAAAGTCCCAGTGCCCGATGGGACTTTGAACTCTTAATTATTTCTCTATCTCAAACTTCGGTTATCAGGTTGTCGATCAGCGTACGGTGCTGTCTGTGTGCACGCGTTAGTCCGCTCGACCATCTCACTCCCTCAGTATAAAACTATCAACTATATTATTTATCAAGTTAATGATTCGTTATAAGAGTATGTAACAAAATGAACTTACCGACAGGCCTGAAGCGGGTGACCCCATCGCCGCATCTCTTCCTGTCGTACAAGAGGTACTTGCATGTTTGCCATGGTCCAAAATGACCCTGTTCTGATGAAGGTCCTCCTGGAAATAAAGAACTTAATAAATATGTATTCCAAGTACAAAAAGGAAACTGTTTACTTTAAAGTATTTATTTAAACATAATATGTTGTACTTATCATCCTCGGAGAAAGAACAAAATTGACATTTTTTATGAGGGAAATTCTCATGACACTTACGTTTTTCCTTATATTACTAATAAGAGGAAAATTAGATAAAAAATCTATTATTCGTTAAACAATAAATGTCATTTTATATAAAAGTACAGTGGATTATGGCCGGATCTACAAAAATTTGTCAAGGTATCACAAGACCTATATAATCAGAAAAAAGGAAGTTTTAAAAACGTGTTTTTTTTTAAAACAAATTGTAGCAGAAATGGACGTTTAAAACTGATGAACATAATATGTCATTTAGTTCAAATAGATCCTATTTTCTTTATTTTATTACCACTTAAATGAACTAAGGGATTGACAAAATCTAAGAAGGTATAGATGGATTACGCCCCAATTGGTTTGAAGGACTTCAGAGGAAATGAAATAGTAACGAAGATGCTAAGATGAGTTAAAAAAAGCAATGACCTAGGCACTCTTATTAGAGGTAATTAACCTACTTTTGGGCAATAGAGCAGGCAAGAGGTCACAGCAAGATGTTGTTATAGTTCAACCATTGCATGCTAACATTTTCGGAAAATATGTCAAATGGTCAGAACCACTTATTGTATATAATAAATAGTTCATCTGTTGCTTAAAAAAAAAAAAAAGTTGATTGGGATTACAACTCACATCTCTGAGAAAAAGTAAAGGATTTATTGACTTTGGGATCAATATATGCTGCTTGTACCATACTTACTTATGTTTGAAAAAACAGTCTAACAGGAATATTATTTGTGAATATTATAGGTCTTTATAAAAAATTGATTAGATAATCGGCGGTTATACATTTTGGTAATATTTTTTTAAATGAACTATATTTTTAATTATTGAATTATTCCAACACACTATAACTAGTGAACTAAGTGTAGAAACATTTGAACTAAGTTATTGAGTTGAACTGAAATGTGCAATAGGAGTCAGGTTTCGAATTTGTACTGTACAGTCCTCTACACATTATCTTCCACCAGCATTATACATTTATATCGGTATTAATTGAAATATATAAGTAAATTAAATTTACATGAAACATCAAAAATAATATTTCATCAATTTAATTAAGCGCCCTTACTCAGTCTCAGTTGGCTTTAAATACCAGTGAAGTTGTTGGGGGATCTCCTGAAGACTCGCTTTCCCCTTCACAACTGGGGGGACAAGTTTGGTACGGAGTTCTCATGGCCGATTGTAAATAGTGTAAATAGGTATGCCTGCGTCTAAGATGTTTATTTATTTATTTTTTTTTTTAAGAACATTTTAATTCTATTTTATTTATTTATTTTTATCTTATTATTACTATTATTATTTTCTTCAATCATTATGATATTTTATTTTGTTCTTATTTCGCTGTATATTATTTTGAAATTACCATATTTATTTTTTGATTTTGCAAATATGGTGTGAATGTGCTCTCTGAACTCTATTTATAAGTGTCGTTAATTGAGACAGATTGTAATATTTATCAATAAACAAGTAATCTATTAAATAAATTTTATTATCACAACTGGATAATCCGAGATAACAACAAATGGCTTAACCTTTTTTTTTAATAGTCTTTTTAACACATTTAACAAGTTTGGAACAATGTTAAAAAGTAAAGATCAAAATGTTGTTCTGAAAATTTGGATATGAATTTTTTAATAAATTTTACAAGTTTTTAACGTTTGCAACACAAAAAAGAAATAACTGTTAAAAAAAAGGGTTTGAAAAGTAACAGCATATATTTTATGTTGAAGGTTTGAATTTCTAAAATATTTGCGAGTAATAATTGGAAATTACCATCGACAATGAACTTCTTCATTCTATTTTTGCTGGTATCTATCACGATGGTAACTATCGCACTCTCAAATCAAATAAGTTAAGAGTTAATTGAAAATATTACATAAATTTTAATCTCTCGTAGTAACCATTATACCTGTGCTCACAATCCGGCTAATGAGCTGAGAGTATTTTTAAGTCACCCTTCTTTTAGATGACCCTTCTCTTAGAGTTCCAGTTATTTCAACGTAATCCCCGGATTAAAAGTTAATTAACGGAGTCGGAAATGGTTGCTAGAGATGGGACAGCTATTGGACAGTTTTTATATCAGGGATCCGAGTAGTTCATTATAACCTCCACTATCCTAGCCTATAATAAATTGTCTTGAAGTGCCTGCTCATCTCAAACCATTTTGGATTATTTGAAAAACATTTTTGAAGTTTGAAAATGTATCTAACTGTTAATGTTATTTTATTTGGAAATCATGAAGTGGTAGATAACATAAGTATGATTCTTAGACACCTCAGAACTATTTAACTAATCTAGATATTTTTTTCTGGAACAAACCTGGTTAAGATAACTGAATACCTACTTCATTAAACTAGTGAAGGAGCCATCACACCGGTTGACATTTACTCCAAAAAAAGAAATACAAATAGATAATGTAATATTTTTTTTTTTTTTATGATAACGTAAGGAAACACGTATGTGTTCTTTTATATGCAAAACTCATATATAACAAGAATAAGCTCTAAACAGAACCTGTGACATTATAATTGAGTGGAAACAATGGATTTTGTCAGCAAAGAGAGACTGATGAAAATAGAAAGATACTGAGGTGTATTCATACGCCAAGAAAAATAGGATAAATGTTCTGGCCAAAAAAGAACGAGCTGTACGAAGACATTGAAGAACCAGAGACATCAATGAGGAAAAGAAGGTTGAAGTTTTATGGTCACGTGAAGATGCGTGGAAAGGATAGATTGACCCATCTTTGACAAAGTGAGAAAATTTAAGAAACATCAAAGAGAGGAGACTAAAGATAGTAAGATAGTAGATGGAAAGAATTTTCTTGTGGTGGAGGAAAAAAGAAAGGAGGTGGATAAAAGAGCGAAGAAAATAGATGGGAAAATATAGGAAAGCCAAAACATGATCTACGCGTTGTCCTTAGCTATCCTACACCGTGCTAATTAAATAAATAATGTGAGATGTCCTGTACTTATATTCGGTTTACATAAACTTTTGTTACCTTGTTTTTTTTTTTTTTGTTTCGATGGTGTCCAAAATGGCGAAAGGTTTTATGTATTTGTTTTATATATATATATAACGATTTATTATTTGAAAGTAAAATAAAGAAACTAAGTTCCAAACTACATCCAAATTTTGTTTACGTCGACATTTAAATTAGTACATGTATAAACATATTACGTCGTTATAGCCATGTGACGATCGCAAGTTCGAAACCGGGCCCCTATTTCACATTTCTTGGGAAAATTTGAGCCAAATCTTCAACAAATCGTGAAAATAATCACTAACTAAAAATTTATAAAAATGGTACAATTTTTTTTTTTAAACTTTATCTTAAAAACTTTAGGATTACGAAACAAAAACAACATTAATCGGTAATTCAAAGCAATGATATGAAAATTATTCAGGCCCTAAGTTAAGGACTAAATATTTCATCTACAATGTTGTTTTATATGATTCTATTAAAGGATATTGTGAAAAATTTATACTAAAAAGTTTTGTCTTTCTACGATACTATGCTATTAATAAACAGTGAAATACTTTAAATACATAGTATTTTGATTCCAAACATTTTTTCAGTAATACATAAAGTAAAGCAAGGATCTATAATACTAAATCTATAAATAATAGATTTAATAAATTTTGTAAATGATAATTTTGCCTTTAACACACGTACATTCTGTCATATCTTTGCGTTTAACCATATATCACATGAATATGAATATTTAAGGCAGTGAATTCAGAAAAAATATTTTCTCTCATATCTGCAACACTGCAAAACCAAGATCCTGCTTGCATGGTTTAGTTTTTTTTTCATTTATTCATTAGCAAGCTAACAATCGGTACGATTAATTGGCAGTATCTTGATTGAGACTGATTGATCATGATTGATCAAACCCTCTAAAAGCGTTATATCAAACTGAAGCGACGCTTGATTTTGCAGGTATTGCGAACCAATTAGGAATGACATTCCACGCCCGCTATCTGCAGTAATATTCCATCAGCATCACTAATTAATGGTTCCCGATGCATATTCACAATGATCCTCGATGGAACTGATGAAGGACATCAGCTGAATACATACTAGCCACTATGACGTCTTTCCTGGTATAATTTGTATTATCTTCTTGTATGGTTCGTCTGTTCCTTCATAAAGTGCTTTAAAAAGTAAATGAAAGACAAGGCTTGCCTATGGCGAGATATGAAAGTACTATGCATATATTATGAATTCAGAACAAAGATAACAAATCTAACATTAACAATTTCAAAGAGACTCTTTGATACAGGGTATCGCTACAAGAAACACCATTACATACTGAAGAATAAAGAGGCAACTTAATATCAACTGAGAAAAGCCGTGAGTTTTTCATCACCGATGTTGATTACTTTGCTGTGGCTAATAATCTCTACAATTGAGCTTTTTTTTTTTTTAATTTTTATTATGATACAACTGTATTAGTATAAATAAATCAAGTAAATGTGTACAGAAAAATATAATCACATGAAACATGCTTGTTGAGAAACTAACCACTGGTATGTCTACATGAGATCACGAGGCCATCTTCTTTTCAGACGCCTTGGAGGGTTATCAGGAATCGAAGGGGAAGCAAGGTTAGAAACAAGATTCGGACGGTTATGAAGTTTATTATGGAAGGATAAGTATCTGGATTGGGCCAAATCAGAAACATATGAAACATTGAGGTCTTTATGGATTATTTTATTTGTGACAAAGTAAGGAGCATTGAGGATTTTACGAAGGATTTTGGGTTGTAAAGATTTGATACGAGAGGAATTTGATGGTTTAGTGGAGCCCCATAGCTCAACTCCATAAGTCTGAATAGGTCTTATTATAGTCATGTATATGAGTCGT